CTTGTATTAGTTGGCATGGACCCTAAGGTAAATCTTACAGTCTTTTTAGAGAAAAAAAGTTAAAATCTTTTTTGACGAGCGTGCACCAAACAAGCCACTCACAGAATGTTTGGTGACTAGTTCAATTCGTGTAGAAGTATAGGTGAAGTTACACGATTCAACATTTTTAATGGACTCTTAACTTAATTTCATTTAATCAGCACATATATATATACACACACACATATATATATATATATATATATATTCATGTTGGCAGTAATGACGGGTATTAAAGAAAAATAAGATAAAATCTCGTTTATCTTTAGAACATTAGACCGGATTTAAATGTTCCTTTTGTTCCTTAATTCTATCTCGTCTAGCATACAAAACATACGATTTTGATCTAGTGCTTGCTTGCTTGGTGTGCCAGATTCGAGCTTTGTTCCTCCATTGGTTTATGCTGTAATGGGAAGTTCAAGGGATTTGGCTGTTGGGACTGTTGCTGTTGGATCACTTCTCACAGCTTCAATGCTAAGTGATGTAGTGAATATAAATGAGAACCCCACACTCTATCTGCATCTTGCTTTCACAGCAACACTCTTTGCTGGGCTTCTAGAAGCAGCTCTAGGCATTTTCAGGTCCATAATACTCATGTTTCGTACACAATATTAGACAAAACTCAACTATATAACAAACAAGAAGCTCGAATTTTTGGTTGGTTTTGTCTTGTTTTTCACATGGCTATCTTACGAAGAATGCTTGTTTGTAATGAAAATTATTGTAACATGTCTTGTTTTGCACATGGATATATTAACGTTAATAAATTTTTTTGGTCAGGTTAGGGTTCATAGTGGATTTTCTGTCCCATGCAACAATAGTAGGGTTCATGGGTGGTGCAGCCACTGTTGTGAGCCTACAACAACTAAAAGGGATACTTGGCCTTAGCCATTTTACTCATGCCACTGATGTTATCTCGGTTATGCGTTCGATTTTTTCTCAAACTCACAAGGTTTTTCTCTCTTTATCTCTTTCTAAAATATATATATAACGACGACTTCAAATTTATCAAGAATAAAATGATTTGAAGTATATATTTTTAGTGGTTGTTTACACTTTTTGTGTCTATTTTCAAACTAATATTGATTGCTCTATTGACAGTGGAGATGGGAAAGTGCAGTGCTGGGATGTTGTTTCCTTTTCTACCTACTGCTAGCTAGATATATTGTAAGTAAAATGTGTGACACAATTTTTCTATATTAATGATATTTTAATGCATCACTTTTTCCATTTTCCTTCAATAATTTGTCATCACTTACCCACTTACTGCAGAAAGTGATTGCCACAAATCAAGTTGTATTAAGAAAAATGACAAGACTTCTATAATGTCTTTGGGAATGTTTGTTGGGCCTATAATTTTAACTCCAACATGCTTACTTTTGCTTCTTTTAAGAAAAGTCAGTTTCAAACTTAACCTACTTCAATTGTCCATGGACATGTTTTGTAAGCTCGACCGAATAGTATGCGATAGGGTTCAGAAAACAAAGTTGTTTAAATTTTATTTATTGCTATGTATAATACTGTCTAATACTATGGATCGTACATGTAGAGCAAAAAGCGACCAAATCTCTTTTGGATATCAGCAACGGCTCCGTTGACATCGGTTATCTTGGGAACACTGCTGGTTTACCTTACCCACGCTGAAAAACATGGTGTCCAAGCGGTGAGCCCTTCACTTACTCAATAATTGGGAAACTTCTGATTAAAGAAAACTTTCTTTCATATCAGAACTTTAACCAAAAAAGGAAGAAAAAAGCTATTGGTTTGGCAATTTCTGTGGACAGGTTTAGACAAAGTCTTGACTGATTTTGTCCTTTGCAACTTTTTTTAATTGTATTGTGCATGATTATGAAATATTTTACATGATTCTGCATTTGAACATATAAACAGATTGGATACTTGAAGAAAGGGATAAATCCACCATCAATTATGGATCTTGAATTTGGATCACAATATCTGCCAACAGTAATCAAAACTGGCCTTGTCACGGGCATCATCTCTCTCGCAGTAAGTTTTATCTTTTCTTTCACCAATCTTTGTAGTCTTCTGTGGTGATAAATTTGGTGGGTGGCCTGAGGGTGTGTGCGGTATGGGACGGAGAGAGACCAACGTCTAGAGGTATCAGAATGTGCCGAGCGTCCTGACATGTGAAACTTGTACAAATTTAGACAAAAGGGCAAAATCCTATTGTCCTGACATACTTAGAAAAGGGCATATACGACCCCACACTCCGTAGTGGCACGGGTTTCTATATCTTAGTTTTTGTGACATTGGTAATGTATATGGAAAAAACAGGAAGGAATAGCAGTGGGCAGAAGCTTTGCCATGTTCAAGAATTACCACATTGATGGAAACAAAGAAATGATTGCCTTTGGAATGATGAACATTGTTGGATCTTTCACTTCCTCTTACCTCACTACTGGTATGGCTCTTTCCTATTAAGGACAAAACTCCATCACATGCACATTATCAAACAGAATTCTGGCATCTTATGTTCATATGATGAATTGAAATTTTTAAAACTTTAAGAATCAAATTGACAAGAAATTTAGAATCCCAAAGTATTAAAATCGACCCAAATTTCAAGGATTATATATCTATCTTGAGAATTAGACTTTGCCAAGTTGTTTGATAGAGAAATAGATTGTATTTACAAGAACAACAACAAACTAAATCTTATCTCGAGACTAGCTATGAAAAACATAGACGGAATTAGAAATAGATTGTATTTAACTTGTACAAACAAAATCGGGTTATATTATGACCAGCATTAATTAATTTGGTAATGGATTAAACAAATAATCTACACACGATATTACTTGCTTGATCCTGAGATCTAAATTACACTACATCAAAGAAACTCACTTTCTCTCTACTATGATACACCGAATGGGGCTTATCCTAATACCCTTTATATACAAGGAAAATATTACGGCTGTCAAGGGGAAAAGTGTATATTATATTAGGCTCTGCACGTTATTACACCCCTTTGATATCAGATTGAAGTGCTAAATGCTGCTTGTATAAATTGAATTTTCAGGGCCATTTTCGAGGTCAGCGGTGAACTTCAATGCAGGATGTAAAACAGCAGTTTCTAACATTGTTATGGCATTAGCAGTGATGATAACATTGTTGCTCTTAACACCATTGTTCCACCACACCCCACTTGTTGTTCTGTCTTCAATTATAATTGCTGCAATGCTTGGCCTAATAGACTATGAAGCTGCAATTCATCTTTGGCAAGTAGACAAATTCGACTTCGTAGTGTGCATGAGTGCTTACTTGGGTGTCGTTTTTGCTGACATTGAGATTGGCCTAATCTTGGCAGTAAGAACCTAGTTTTATCGAACACTAAGAGCATGAATTGTTTATGGAACAAGTGGTTTTAAAAACTAATTGTGTGTATGGAAATGCAGGTTGGATTATCTGTGCTCAGGGTACTGTTATTTGTTGCAAGACCAAGAACATTTGTTCTTGGAAATATCCCTGAGACAAGGATTTACCGAAGTGTTGATCAATATCCAAACGCGAGTAATGTCTCGGGGATTTTGATACTTGAGATCAACGCTCCCATCTATTTTGCGAATGCCAGTTACTTGAGGGAAAGGTATTGGAGTCCAATTGTTCTCTTGACAAGAATTCTGAGAAATATTTCATGTGTCACTAACTTATTCCTTGTAATTTTAATTCCAGAATTTTGAGATGGATCGATGATGAAGAAGATGAGATAAAATCATCAGGAAAATCGAGTTTACAATATTTCATACTTGACATGAGTGGTTAGTGATCAACTTTAGAAACACTACAGATATGCTGTTGTGATGCGAACTCTAGAAAAACTTAAAACTAAATTCAACATTTCGACTTCTTATATGATATTGGCAGCTGTTGGAAACATTGATACGAGTGGGATTAGCATGCTTGAGGAGGTTAAAAAGATCATGGATAGAAGAGGCCTCAAGGTTAGTCTTCTTTATCTCGTACAGTCTTGTTGACTCGGTGAGATCAAATTAACCAACTAAAAAAAATTTATATAGTTGACCAAGAGTAAGACTTTGTTTATCATATTGACTTGAATGTTTTGGTGCATTTGCAGCTTGCACTGGCCGACCCTGGTGGTGAGGTTATGAAGAAGTTGAACAAATCAAAATTCATAGAAACAATAGGCCACGAATGGATTTTCTTGACAGTGGGTGAGGCTGTTGGAGCGTGCAATTACATGCTTCACACTTGCAAGCCAGATTTGGCTTCTCCTGATGAACTAAAGAAATATAGCAGCAATGTGTAAATTTTTAACTTGTTTGTAAAGCAAAAGCTTTGGAAAATCAGAAACTTATTTACAAAGAGCCAAAGCAAGTTCTTGAATAAATTAAGAAAAGAAGAGTTTTCTAGCAATTGCATATTTCTCGACTATGATCGAGATCCTATTTTGTTGTTTTGTTTTGTCAGCGAAGCATTAAAGCTTGTTAACCGAATGCTGGTTTAAAAATTGAATTATTAAAACAAAATACGAACTCCTCAAACAAGAAATTGAGAAGTAAAATAATTTATTTCTTGCCAGAACATCTAAAAAAACCAAATAAATAGATAGAAATTTGAGACGTTAGCCAGAGACAATGTGGGAAATTATACCTTTCTCCCTCCAGGCAATGCTAAGCATCATAAAAGTTTGATAATGAGTATAGTTTACAAGAGAGTGCTATTTTCACCGCATTTCCTAATTTAGTGCTACTTCCGTTAATTATCGAAAACTCAACGAGGACATACAACTTTAGCCCGGCCCATCTGAAATCGTTCATTCGCCTCTCCAGTTTCCAGCTAAATAGAATGAATTCAACTGATATCGTAAGCATAAATTCATTTAAATCGCTATTTACAAACAATCTTGCTTGCCGATATTAGTGAAATTCGATTTAAAAAGATAAAAAATTGCCGTCAATTCTCTTGTAAAAATTGCTAGGATGGCTCCCGACAAAAAACCCAAGAAAGATGATGCTAAGAAATTCAAGAAAATGAAGAACAAAACTAAGACCAAAATCAAGAAGAAGAAGAGCAAGAATGTAAGCTCAGTTCCCATGGATAACAGAGCAATTGATTCTGAATGGTGGGATATTTTCTGGCGTAGGAATTCTCCGACGCTAGGTGTTTTTCCCTTTTTCTTGGTGCATTTTTCAGCAAGTTAATCTTTTTACTGTACGTTTCTTGATCTTTGTTTACTCTTTCTATTTACACGTTTTCTTTGATTCTTGATAACTCCGCAAAGTTTTTAGCCTATCGTCGAATCTGTCATTCCTTCTAGAAATTCTTTATTAATTGATTGTAGGTTTTTAGCTTTTGATTTCTGCATAAACTGTCTTTGTTTACTTATTTTGTAATTTGCAGGTTCAAATGAACCCTCCAACGAGGAAGAAGGATTCAAAATTTTCTTTCGGGTATCGAAGAAAACTTTTGAGTACATCTGTTCACTTGTAAGAGAAGATCTTATTTCCAGACCACCTTCGGGTCTCATCAATATTGAGGGAAGGCTCCTTAGTGTTGAGAAGCAAGTTGCTATTGCGTTGAGAAGATTGGCTTCTGGCGAATCCCAAGTTTCCGTTGGAGCTTCGTTTGGAGTAGGACAGTCCACAGTTTCTCAGGTCACTTGGAGATTTATTGAGGCCATGGAAGAACGGGCAAAGCACCATCTCAAATGGCCTGATTCTAGTAAAATGGACGAAATCAAATCTAAATTTGAAGCATTTTCGGGATTGCCTAATTGTTGTGGAGCCATTGATGCTACTCACATCATAATGACCCTTCCTGCTGTTGAAACTTCAGATGATTGGTGTGATCAAGAAAAAAATTACAGCATGTTCGTCCAAGGAGTCGTTGATAATGAGATGCGATTTCTAGATATTGTGACGGGTTGGCCAGGGGGCATGCCTATTTCCCGACTTTTAAAGTGTTCTGGATTTCACAAACTTTGTGAAAGTGGCGAACGGTTAACTGGAAAGGTCGGGATGCCGACTAAAGGAGAGGAGATTCGAGAGTATATAGTAGATGGTGCTAATTTCCCTCTCCTTCCATGGCTTATAACTCCATACGAAGATAATGATCTTGAAATTCCTATGTTAGAATTCAATCAAATGCTTGAAGCTGCCCGAGCTGCTGCTGTTAAGGCATTTTCAGAACTGAAGGGTGGTTGGAGAATCCTAAGTAAGGTTATGTGGAGGCCTGATAAGAGGAAACTACCTAGTATTATCTTGGTATGTTGTTTGCTTCATAATATTATAATCGACTGTGGAGACAATTTGCATCCAGATGTTGTCTTGTCTGGACATCACGACTCAGATTATATAGGACAGAGCTGTAAGCACATTGATCCTATAGGCAGAACTATTAGAGAAAACATGACCAAACACTTGCAGCATTGCAAAGAGAAGGCTTCTTGTATTCATAACATCTAGCGCCATTGCCAAGCAGACATTCTTGTACTGATCTGACCTTGTTTTATATTTAAGCTTGGTTGAATTCACGTCTTCATTTTCAACTCAGTAGCATTATCATGGTTGTAACGTCAAGTTGTCTTCCTTTTCAGAAAGGTGTTCATGCATTGTGATTGCTATTTTCGTTTAGATCTATGCAGAAGAAAGGACTCGAAACATATCCTTTTTTCATGTAGAGGTTTCTTGTGGAGGTTTTTCATATGTATTTGGATTTGGTTTACTCTTTGTCGTTGCATTTTCGTGAGTTTTACTAATAACCTTTTTATGTAATGTTTGAGAGAGAGGATTGAATATCACTGGATTATATTGTGAAAGAATTGACGAGAGTACACAGTTCTAAATAAGAAAAAGAATTTGAAATAGTAAGACATTTCAGTTTCTATAGATTACAATGAATGAAAAATTGAAGAGCATATAGTTGATTGGAAAAAATTTATTCCCTCTTTTCTTGCACAGCTAGATTTGCCAATGTAGGACAGATCATAGTTTAAAATTATTCATTATATCAAGTACAGGCAATTTAGAAGCATTAAACATTTACAGGTGCCTAAAGATTGTATAAAATTCTTAAGAAGGCAGAAAATTTAGATATGAATATCTACAGGAGAAGATGTATAAAGAAAGAAACTATGCTAATGAAGAATAGCTCTTCATCTAACATGCATATATTGTGTTGAAACCTCAATCTTCTGTCGCCGAAGGCTGAACGCATGCACAAAAATGTGATTTCTTTCGCCCGCTTGTTGTTCTTCCCATGCCATAGAGATAATCCTGCAAAAGAATTCTTCGTTTTGTCTCAGATGTCTGAATTTTTCCCTTATCGTCCTTTTCGTCAAGTTTTAGCAAAACAAACTGTAACTTCTGTACCTCCAACTGCAACCTGCCAATTTTTTCGGACATTCTTCGTGCCTGCTCAGGGATTCTCCTCCTTTTGACTCCATCATCTTCTGAGTCGAATGAGGTCTTAACATCTGGGATAGAATTGTCTTCAATACTTTTTATCAATTTGCCATTGAGATCAAACAACTTCATGATGGTCATGTCAGCTTCTTCGAGCTGTCCCTTCAACGTCTCACATTCGATAACAGCTTTTCCCCTTTGGCCCTTCTCAGTAACTTCGAGTTTCCTCTTCAAGTCTTGAACTGTAATTTGAAGATTAGCCAATTTCTGAACATCTGAATTCAGCCTTTCCAGTACCTTGCCCTTGTTTCCTTCTTGAAGGGGGTCGGTAAATCTTTTCGAAATTTCCAACTTGTCGACACTGAACTCCTTTTCAATCAGTCCATCTGAACCAAGACGCTCGCCTTTCTGTTTCCTTACTGATTTCACACTGTGTAAATCATGATTTCTATCACTGGCTGGTGAAATTATTTGACTATCAGGTTCGATCTGTTCTCTCCTGCTAATTCCATAAGACGACCTTTTGGAAATCTGATCGAGCAAGATGTCTTTCGTCAGAAGTGTCCTGTCTGCCTCGGAGATTTCAGTTGATGACTTCAAGTTTCTCCTATATAGTCTGCATTCTGATTTTAACTCCTCGACTTGCCTTGTTGCACCCTCCAGTTTTGCATGGAGATCAACTATTTCTTGAGCCCTTAGATGATATATTTCAACGGCTGCCTGTTCGATAGCTTGAATCCTCACCCGTAGATTTTGCAAGTCTGAAAATGTGTCGGGCACCACGGGGTTTTCATTTTTGTTCAGATGGTTTCCAACGAGACAATCCCTCTCTTGAGAACCCTAGAAATGACCAAATCAGAGGAGTCCAGCAATTAGTACAAGTAATGCATGTGGAAAATGCAGCCAGCAACTTCTATATATAGAAATTCTAGTCATGTAAACCTGGAGATAATCCTAGGAAGTGAAGGGAAACTACTATTTTGCAACCATCACAGTACCATATCTCATGACAAAGTTCAATACTGAAATTTGAGAAACAGAGTTTACTTCTCAAAAATATCAAACCCAACCGGGATCAGTATGATGGCTAATAGCTAATCGCAAGAGAATTAGAAACTTACAAAAAGAATGCAACAATATGCAATTATTATGTGTAATCTATTGTTTCTCACTTGTGTTCACTCAGAAATGTCGTAACAGCATACTAATGTTCATATATTCAGGAACTATTTTCAGGAAAACCCATGTCTAATCCTAAAATCTACATAAGAGATTCCAACCAAAAGCACGTGCTATATATTCACAGTCAGCTATATTACGACAAAAAGATATGCAGAGCAAGAATATCTCTGTTAAAGCCAAGAGGAACTAATTAAAAAAGTCAAAACTTATGGCTCTAGTTAGCTGTGTTGGATCTGACTATAGTATGACCTAACATTTTAACATCAAGGTGAAGTTCTTATTTGGTTAAAGAAAATCCAAGTATCCTAGATTGGTCTGTCAGTAATATGAATGGACTCATGTTGGAGTTTGAAAGGGGAGACAGAAATAAAGAATTAAAAATTGAATTACTAACAGACCAGGCTGCATTGAAACTTAAGAAATGTTTTCATGTCAGTCAATGCCACCTCACACTTGCTGAATCATGCACACTCCTTGGACAATATTTTTTATGAAAGAAGGCTAAATATAGGTTTCGGATGTTCAAGTAAAAATGGAATTTATTTAAATATTCAGATAAGCAATGAATGTTGAAGGACATGATTTCTGTAATTTGATGTTCATCTAATTTGTTATTGTCACTTTTTATTGGATAGTGCTTTATGTTGATTATTTACTTGTAAAATTTTATCACATAAAAGTAGTTTATATCTAAATTAATCTAACATGAGTATTTATATGTTCTTTAATTGCCATTTCTCAGATGTGACTTGTCATAATTTTTCAAGAATTCCCTAATTCTATGTTCTGCCATGCAGTGTCTCTGCAAGCCACTAATTCACAACTTTGGTAGCCAGTATGATGCATACTTACTAAGACATGGATGTACAAGTTCTAAAATGGCTCATTAATTTAAGCATTAAAGAACTATAGTTTTCATGTTCTGAAAACACTATATGTAAACTAGGTACATATATGTAGAAAAATAAACAATACCTCCATTTTCTTATCTTCAGAATCTTGAAGCTTGACAGGTAAAATGATATTCTTTTCCAGGGATGATATAGATTCCTCCAAGGAAATTACTGCAGGGCCGTATGCAGCCAATTGAATTTTGAGACCTTCATTTTCATTTATAGAGTCGACAGAAGTTTTACACAATTCATGGAACTTTTGCTCATAAAGAAGCTGACTGACTATGGAAATGTGTAATTGATCGAACAGCAATGCAGCCTCAATCTCCCACGTCTCAATCTCAGTTATTTTCTTTTGTAGCTCAGAATGCAAATTCTCCTCTCGGGTTTTGCTCTTGTCTTGCTCTCCACGCAATTTGTGCAGATAAAGTTCCAATACCTGACTTGCTTCACACAGGCGATTATTCTCCGTACTCAAGTGGTCATTATCTGCAGATAGTTTGAGAATCTGATTTTCTTGACCTTCTCCTATCATCTTAAGTTCGTTGGACTCCATCCTCAGATCTTCCACAATTTTGGTCAACTCTAAATTCTTATTTTCCACTAGATTTACCTTTTGTTCTGCTTCCTGATGTTCCAATTCCTTCTGATTTAACATTTTCTTTCCATTTTCAACCTCGTTACTAAGCTTATCTTTGACAATAGAGATGATCCTCAACTCCTCCTCTGTCTTCAACAATCCTTCCTTGACATGAGCATTTTCCGTTTGCAATTTTTCCAACCTCCCTTCTGTTAATCTTAAGTTTCCCATGAGGTCACCATTGACATCATGAAGTTTATTTAGATCAGAACCAAGCTGTCTTAATAGCACAAGTTTCTCGACAATACAGTCTCTAGAAATGAAGGAAAGATTATCTAGAGTCAACACTTCGCCAAATAAAACACCATTTTCCTCTTGTAAAATATCTTTCTTTTGGTCCAAGAGTAGGAGCTCATCTGTCAAGAATCTTCTCTCTCCACGGAGGTCTATATTCTCTTCATGTAAAACCTGACAAGCATCTTGCATGTTCATTAACTTCCTATGTAGAACCTCTATCTGAGCCAGTAGTGCTTCCTCTTTGCAATCCCCATCATTTAATTTGGACAACAACTTTTCATTCGTCTCATGGAGTTCATGGACCTCGCTCTGCAACATTAAGAACTGCTCAGTCTTGATCTTTAACTCATGCTCAACAGTGTTCTTTTCCAGCTCGAGATTCTTTGCCTCTAGTCTTAGTTGCCCAATCAATGTGACAAGAACTGACAATTCAACAGTCTGCTGCTGATTTGCCATCTCAGCTTGGTGGAGGGATTTCTTCATATCTTGAACTTTACTAAACAATTGGTTGAGATAGATATGGTCTTGCCCATTTTGATCGTTGCACGGGTGGCCTTGAACAATGTCGAGAGCTTTCAAAACATCATAAGTTCCCTCCCTCAGACTGGTAGCTTGAATAAATAAGGATTTGATTTCAACGCTTTGCTCAACATAGTTTTGTTCTAACTTTAAAATCAGCTTTTCTGACAAATTGGATTCCTCCAAGAGTTTCTGATGCTTAATTAACAAGGAGTAGCTATTTTCTTCTAGATCTTGGACAGTCTTACGCAAAACAAATGTTTCAATATCATAATTTAAGGCATTTTCCAGCATTTCTTCAAGTTCTCTCTTTCTCTGTTGAGATTCTTCCTGCAAAAGCTCCATCTCTGCTCGGACGGCAGTGAATCGTTGCTCGTTCATTTGGACAAAATTGGCATGTTTTTGCCTTTCTACATCCAATATAACCTGCAGCCCTTCTAATTTTCCATGAGTGCATTCTTTCTCCTTCTCCAGAGCCATATATTTCTCTTCCAAATCTCCATAAACTTTACACATGTCATCTAGCCTTGTCTGGGTGGTTCCCAACTGAGAAGTTATGTCATCCCTTTCACTGATCAGCACAGCCTTTT